TATATGTATATATATATATATATATATATATATACTTTTTTTTTCGTCCCTGAAGTATTCACCACCGATAGCAGTGATTAATCTCCTCGTTACGTTGGAGGCACCTCAAAGGGTGGGATAGCTTGAGAGATTTTTGACTAGTTGCAAAAAATTAGTACATGAAATACAACAAAAATAATAAAATAAGTAATTATTTAAAATATCTAATTGAAAAGGTGAAGAAAATAATACTAAAAAATATTTATAAGGATAATAGTCGTATTATAATTATATAGTAAAATAAAAATAATTTATAATTATTGACATGATATAAAATTAAAAGTTAATGGGACTATTGTCTCCGCTTACTACTAGAAAAGTATTATTTTCCTACGAATTTTCCTACAAAAAAATAATCGCAAAATTTTTTTGCGAATTTTCTTGCAATAATAATTTTGCAAAATTTTTTTACGAATTTATTTATGAAAAATAATTTACAGATATTTCTTACAAATTTTTTTAAAAAAATAATTTACAAGAAATTTTTGTAAATTTTGCTACAATTTTAATGATCATAAAAAAATTTTTCCATGGTAAAAACTGGTAGAAAATATTATAAGAATTTTATTTTGTTTCTTGCATATCTTCTTGCAAAAATAATTTCGCAAATAATGTTTACAAAATAGTAGAAAATTTTTGGCAGGTAACTTTTCCTACAAATTTTCCTGCAAATTTTAATCCCCAGGAAAAATAAATTTTTTTTATAAGTTTAATATTTTAAAAAAACTTCAAGTCCCACATCGATCCAAAATAAAATAATTAAAGAGTATATAAGTTGGGGCACTTACCTTACAAGTTGATTTGTATGGTTGAGTGTTAGACTTATAATCTACAATCTTAGAATTTAAAATATTATGTATCACATGTTGGAGGCATGGAAATAAATGTTTCGGATGAATTCATTGTGAGCATTTGAAAGTTGAAGAATTATTGATAGAATTTATAGTAATTTCTTTATTTTTTTCGTAAAAAATATTCCTACAGAATTTCTTGCAAAAAAATTCACAGGAAACTTTCCTGCGAATCTTTTTTTTGCAGAAAACTTTCCTGCAAATTTTTTTTGCAGGAAACTTTCTTGCAAATTTTTTTTGCAAGAAATTTCGTAGGAAAATTTCCTGCGAGTTTTAAAATTCGCAAAAATATATTATCCACGAATGTATTACTTGCAGATGATTCTCTCCTCACATTCGACACCACTCCTTTGATGCCTAGTGTCAACATGAAATGTAACACAATATACATATGAATTCATTTCACACCAGAAATCCAACATGCAATCATAATCCATCAAAGTAACCCAAGTTCATCTCCAACATGCTTACAAGCAACAACTCAAATAACTCCTCATTTCAATCCAAATCAACCAACACTACATGATGTTAAGTGAAGTCAATCAACATGCAACTTCAACAATAAATCAAGATTCAACAGTAGATTTTCTTATCTCGACTTTGAGCCAAACGAGAAAGGAAGAGGAAGAAGAAAGAACTTCGAGTACTGGGAACTCTCATCTCCACACTTGACTTTCAACTCTAAGTAGTTTTGAATCACAACTATCTGATAGTCAAAGATCTCTTACTCCACTAGAAAGTCTATAAAGAAGGAGGAGGAATATCAACTCCAGAGTCTTTCTCTCGAGTTTATCTCTCTAGTTTCTTCGAGAATGAGGTTATGAGGCTTAGTTCTCAAAAGAACTCTTATATACACCTTTCCCCTTGGATCAACTAGACCTTTGGCTAGAAAACTTTCAATATTAACCAATTTTTTTAGAATTTCTTAACTTTTAAAATCACTCGTCCACACTTTAAGTACCACATATACAATTATTGATAATAAAAAAAATAATAATAAAGTTAGTGTTATGATAGATTCAAAATGTAATTCTTAATAATAAAAAATTAAAAATTCAACACTCAATAATCATGATAAATTAAATATATAATAATAATAATAATAATAATAATAATAAATTTTAAAATTAATTATAATATCTATTACTAATTTTTTATCAATAATTATTATTACACAAGATTTTTTTTTAAAATTTTACTCTAGAAGAGTCAAATCCAATCTATTCAAACATCACAAGTTTCACCATGAATAATAATTGCATTTAATTAAAGATAATTTTGCAGATTGCATTATCTCAGGTAGACTCATGCAAACTTACAAAAGTTTTTTCCCCGAGAAATGAAAGGAAAAAAGAAAATTTCTCCCTCTAAAGACTAATACAAGATTTATTTTTGAAATCTTAGTTTAGTAGTTTAAACCTCTATGTATTGTACCAAAGATTAATTTTTAAAAAATTAATAATTTGAATCGATAATTTGTATATCAATAACAATAAAGTTTATATATCAAAATCCTAAATGAGATAGATATGGAATTTCTCACATGTGGTTGACTTGCCATTCTTTCTCGTACATTGAGAAAATCAACATGGCAACCTTAACAAGGTGTGAGAAAACCTGAGCAGCACCATAACACAACACCACAACACAAGAGACCAACGTATGACAACTTTAACATCAAACCATCACAAGTTTCATGATGGATATGTCATTTTCTTATACACAAATAAAGGTTTGATAGTCAGTACGTAGCTCGCACACTAACTTGTTTAGACAAATTTTTCAAAAAAAAAAAAATTAAAACAAAGTATTTCAAAAACTAAAATAAACTTTCATAAGGTGACTTTTTTAAAAAATTACAAATTAATTTATACATAAATTAATTTTAATTTACGAAAAAATTTATTTTGTTTTTTCTTATAGTTTTTCTTCCAAAAGTGTTTCTTAAAAAATTTGTCCATTCAGGTAATTTCCTTTTCTACGTACACCAATCACATCACAAAGTTATATACACATACAATTTTAGATAAACAATCAAGAAAAGTACAAAACATGCACCTAGCTAGTGCAACCCTGAGAAGATTAAATCCAAATTGTAACACGTCTTACGAATTATCGCTACCAGATATTACTTATACTGAAAATATAATAATAAGCAACGTTCATTGTTTAATAAAACGTACAATATGACTATGGCAAACTACACTCACACTGCACAATGATCACAAGCACAACCAATTAATGTTCACGGTTAATGCTTGCATTGATATTGAAACTAGAAGCTAGAGCGATGACTGTTATCCAGTTTGGTCACAGTCTCTTTGTTAATGAGAAGCTCATACCTTGCATTTAAATTATAATAATTAAAAATATAATAATATATAAGGTGATCATGTCATGGCCCTAGACGGTAGTGACCATCAGCCATGTAGTGACCATCCATGTAGAGAGTTGCACTTTGGGGATGCAAGCCATCCATCACCATGAACTGCATGTCTTCAGATGGTTTCCAATGCCTCTTCCTTTGGTTTATGAACCAGTTATTTATTTGCTTTTGGTCTAAACCAGTTGATTCAGCCAGTGCCACCTTCTCTGATTCCTATAGTCATTAATTATATCAACCATGAGAACATTATTTTATACATATATTTATTATATATCAAAGTGTTAAACTATTCACTTCATCCCTAATTTCTAAACTCGTCCTTATTTTAAGTTTTAGTTCCTTTGTGACAAAACTGTAAGTTTTAGTGGCTATTAGATTATTTTAGCAATTTATCACCATCAAAAAGAGTGTGCAACAATTTTGATTAGGAACTAAACCTTAAAATAACGACAACTATAGAAACTGAATGAATAACTTGATCTATATTAAGCATGAATTGAGTCACTGCGATTCATTTGATAAAAGTAGTTTAATTAATCATGCCATTTTTTTATAAAGTGAGTAGGTTCAGTTTTTTCAAAAGCAAAGCATTTTTTTAGAAAAATTAATAAGTAACCTGTACGTATGCACTAAAGTCTTTTTACTAATTACCTGTGAAATAAATATTGTTTAAACATCTTTGCATTAAATGATAATAAAACGAAAAGATGAGAATATGTACAAAGAAACAACTACAATGCAAAATTGGATCGATTTGGTATAATTTGGTTATTCACTTTAAACTCATGGTTTGTTTTTTTTCAAAAAAATCGAACCAATTCCTTTATAAAACTCAATTCGATTAACCAAACCATTTTTATAAAGTATCCGCATCATAAAAAACGGTTGGATTAACCAAACCATATTTATAAAGTGAATCAATTTGATTTTCTTCTTAAATTTGATCCGTTTTCATTATTTGATTTTTTATTCAGATTTCTTTGCACATCCGATTGATATCGAATTAAAGAGTGTGACGTTTACATACCGAAGGATATGGCCATTTGTAATGTAATTCCCACCAGTTAAGTAGCTTTTGTCTAGCATCTTTGGGAAGTTTCCCTTTCTTTTTCTTCTTAGAAAGTTCTTGCTTAAGGCTACTCAAGTAACCACTGTACTTCCTCAGCAAGTGGGTTTTAAGTTCACGATCTTCTGCTCTAGGATCAATCTCGGGAAGTTCTGTTTCTCCTCCACTATTGTCTTGATCCTCTTCC